GAGACAGAGCCTCAAGCTGTCCCCCTGGGTAGAGTGCTGTGGCATCACAGCTCACAGCAACCTCCAACTCCTGGGCTTAAGCGAGTCTCCTGCCTTTGCCTTCCAAGTAGCTGGGACCACAGGCACCCATCACAACACCTGGCTATTTTTTGGTTGCAGCCATCATTATTGTTTGGCGGGCCCTGGCTGGATTCGAACCCGCCACCTTAGGTGTATGTGGCTGGTGCCTTAGCTACTTGAGCCACAGGCGCCAAGCTGTTTTTTTTGTTGTTGTTGAATTTTTTTATACTTTAAGCCTTAAGTTTAATTGAATTTATTTTTGTATATGGTTTAGTGTTCATTCAAATAATTTCCTACATGGTATTTAAGTGCCACTTAATGAGTAATCAATCTTTTTCTCCTACTGACACTGTCAAATTGCCCTTAAAAAAAATGTTTACACCCTAAAAGGGAGACTTTAATCTGAACAAATGTGAGAAGTACCTGGTCTTTCATTCTTGCTTTTCTTGGCAATGTAACCGTATTTAACTCTGAGTCAGCTGGACTGCTTCTTAGATCACGCTCTACTTTGCCGGTGTTTTCATTTAGGGCTGCTTCTACTTTTCCAGTAGATGGTGCTGGGGAAGAACACGCTGAATCAGCAGGCTGAGGAGATATACTCTCTCTTCGGTTAGTACTGTAGTCCTCATCATCATCACTGGACAAAATAACTAAAATTATAAAAAAATTTACAGCTTATATTCAAATTTATATTAAAATAATAATTTTATATTTCATTTCTGTCAGTTAAAAATGTTCATAATCCCTGGTCGTCTAGTGGTCAGAATTTAAAAAAAAAAAGTAAATTACCACAGTGAGAAATACACTGAATTTTTGTTGGATCTTTTTCATATCTCAGAATAAAAACAATGGGCCAGGTGTGATAGCTCATACCTACAATCTTGGCAGTTTGGGAATCTGAAGTGGGAGGATCTCTTAAGGACAACAGGTCAAGACCAACTTGAGCAACATAATGAGACACATTATCACTATAAACAAACAAACAAACAAAAAACCCCCAGAAAACAATTAGCCAGGCATGGTGGCATGTGCCAATAGTCCCAGCTACCAGGGAGACAGAGGCAGGAGGATTGTTCAGCCCAGGAGTGAGGTTACAGTGAGCCATGATGACGTCACTGCATTCTAGCTGAGGCAGCAGAGCAAGATACAGTCTCAAAAAGAAAAAATTGAAAAGATATAATCCACTTTATCTGATGAAAAATTAAAAAGATAGAATCCACTAATCTGATGAAAAGTTAAATTTGAAAGCATTAAGACTTGGAATTGTTTTAAAAATAAATACCTTATTATGCAAATATAAAATTGATTCCATAGTCTGTTGCCACTCACCCACACAGCAACATAAACAAGTTACAAGAAGAACTAAATGTTTATAAATATATGCAAAATTCCATGTAACCAAGTAATTTTAGCCTACACAGGAAATCACTAAAATCTTAATCAGTCCTTGGGAAAATCTGGACCAATGTCTAATGCTTAATGTACCTTGTTGAGTAAATAAATGTGGGTAAGAAAACGCATTATGAAAGCAATTTGCTCTTATACCTCGCACTCATTATTGCACCTTATCCTATCCACCTCTATATAACTCCCCAGAGCCACCCATACTGTACCTGAGTCAACACCAACTTTTCAGGCTGGTTTACAGATTTACATAATCTGGCTCCTGCCTATTTGTCCATTTTTCTCGAACTACTATTTTTTCTATTCCTCTGTGTATGCTGCAGGCACACGAGCTAATATTTCTGTCCCACAATTACAAGCTCATTGCTGTCTGGACTGCGCTTCTCTCAACCCTGCAATTTTTGCTACCAATTATTAGCTTAAATATCACTTTTTGATTGATAACTCAATCTAAAGTAAGCACACAGGTACTCAATCACATAACCAATTTAAATTTTCTGTTGTTCTTTATTGTGGATGTTTACTTGCTCATCTATCTTTCCTTACGACCTATCAATTACAAGAACACAGAAACATTGTCTTGTTCACTGCTATACTCCTAGGCCTAAAACAGTACCTTACATGTGAAAAAAAAACCATTAAAAAATCACATATTGGGCTCGGCGCCTGTGGCTCAAGCGGCTAAGGCACCAGCCACATACACCTAAGGTGGCGGGTTCGAATCCCCAGCCCGGGCCCGCCAAACAACAATGATGGCTGCAACCAAAAAATGGCCTGGCGTTGTGGCGGGTGCCTGTAGTCCCAGCTACTTGGGAGGCTGAGGCAGGAGACTCGCTTGAGTCCAGGAGTTGGAGGTTGCTGTGAGCTGTGATGCCATGGCACTCTACCCAGGGGGATAGCTTGAGGCTCCATCTCAAAAAAAAAAAAAAAAAATCACATATTGAAAATGCACGCATTTGTAGGAGTGATTTTCTGTTACAGTATCCCACACATAAATGTTTCATTAATAGTTACTGAGTAATGTACGTGCCTCAGAGGAGCATCATCCCCTGTTTATTCCACTTTTTTATTTTGCTGTCCAATCTCAGGAGTAAATGCAGTGCTTGTATCTTTTCCAGAACTGGTCTGTTATTTACAGAAAGCCTAACGGGCCATATTAGAAGATCTAAGCAGACCTACACATTCAGTATTTAAGTTAGAGTTTGGCTGCTTAAGTTATTTGCTGCTTTAGTTATTTGGCTTAATTACTCTTTGCTGTGAAATTGGGGACAATAAGAATACCTATTTCACTGAACTACTGCAAGAAGCAAATGACATGTAAAAACCATATAAATATATAGCTTTTTAAAAGTCTATTGAGCTATGTTTATAAAAAAACACACTAAAATATATATTAAAGGGGAAGCTTAGTGTTCTATCAGTAACAATTATTATTTTTATTATCATCTTTAAATTACGCTGCCAAGGCTAGTCTCGAATTCCTAGGCTCAAGTGATTCTTATGCGTCAGCATCCCAAGTAGCTGGGACTAAATACAGGTGTGTGCCACCATGCCTGGCTTGTAATTATCTTTATGGTGCTTGAAGGACATTAAAACTTCTGCATGACACGTAAAAAAAAATTCTTAATACTTTCCCGTTTACTTACCAACTTTCAGAATAACACATTAGAACCCTAAGCAACCTCCAAAGGGCTTTTTTCCTTTTAGAGGGAGAGGAGGGCATCATAATAAACTACCTGAATTTAATATACTTGACATATTTGTTAAAGCCAGTCAAGGGGGGTTGTGAGGGGGTGGGACATCTGACATATTTAAATGACTAGCTAGTAGCAATGATTCCTTTTGTAACTCAAGCAGTCCACGCAGTGGTCAGTGGAAGCCCTTTTGTTGTAGCTCCACGTTGTTCTGACAGGTCCATTATTAGCTTCTGACTGCTTCCTAATAGGACTAGATGATCGCTCCAGACATGGATCAGCTATTTTTCTGAGAAGCTCTGGTTATTTTTTACTGGGAAATGGTATTTAAAATTACAGACATGGGAACTAGGGTTATTTACTGTTTCTATATAATTAAGTTCATTTGCTCACTGTGTTTTTGCATTTGTTTTTAAATTTTTTAAAATTTAATTTTGTTTTATAATTATGTAAAATATCTACATGTTTCCAAAGCCAAATCTGTACAAGAAGGTATATTTGGAAAAAATCTATCATCTATCCCTAACACCTTACAAAAAGAAAATAAAAATCTCAGGACCACCTCCCCTAACTCCATATGTAAAGGCAAAGGTAAAGGCCTCAAGCACCTGTAAAGAACTGGCTCTCCAAATCACTCATTAAGGAAATTCCTTGTTCACATCTCATGAGCAAGGACATGCAAATTGTAACTTTAGGTCCACAGGCTGCTATCTAGCAGCTCCTAAAACTAAAGTCTATTGGATTCCACACTAATAATGAATTACAAGTTTACCTCTGGAGGCAGCAGATGCAGATTTTCCTGGGTCTCACGAGACTGTAACCGTTTTGTCTCATTGCCTCACCCCCTGCCCCCAACTGTATGCCTTTAAAATGGGGAAACTTCTAATTCCCCTTCAGAAAAACAGCCACATTTCTCTGGTTTTCTAGGGCACATCCTCAACTTTGCATAGTATGTTTTTTTCCCTTTTCAATCATTTTTTTGCCTATTAGTTTTTCATTATCTTTCTATTTTATTTTTTAAGAAACAGGGCCTTGCTATGTTGTCCTGGCTGGACTCAAGCCCCCATCTCAGCCTCCCAAGTAGCTGGGACTACAGGACAGCACCCCTGTGCCTGGCTTCTATTTTTTAAAACTAACTATATATTCATTCTTACATCTTGTATAATAAAAGCTCTTGTCTGGAGCTTGCTTCATTCCCATCATTAAATATCCTGGCAATCACTCTATAGTATTATACCAGGTCTTTCCCTCTTTA